CAGGGGGGGGGGGGGGGGAATTAGGAACCAAGCTTGTATTTCTACTACTTAATACCCACAAACTGGTGGCGCAAATAAATAGTGAATAGATCTACTTCCACTGTGTTAAGGGCAACATTAAATGGCAACCATAAGTCTTGGGATTAATATCCTCCTCACATAGAGTTTGCATATAACATGGTGGTTCACAAACTACTAAGTTATCTCCTTTTGAAGTTGTATATTGTTTTAATCCTTTCACACCACTAGATTTATCACCTCTCTCAGATGTTATTTCTTTCTCACATGAAGATGGAGTATCTTAAGAAAACTTTGTGAAAAAAGTTACATGAGATATGGTAAAAGATCAAATACAACAACAAATAAAGAGATATACTAACTATAACCATAAGAGGAAGAAAAAGATGATCTTTCAAGAAGAACATTGGGTTTAACTTCATCTTACAAAGGATAGGTTTCCTTTCTAAGAGGAAATCTAAACTCAACCCAAGAGGAGATAGTCCCTTTTAGGTCCTTCAAAGGATATAAATGATAATGCATATAGGTTAGACCTCCCTGATGATTATGACATAAGCAACACCTTTGATGTACGCGATTTGATTCCTTTTGCAAGTGTTAAAGATGGGGAAGAGGAACCTATGTATTTGAGGTTAAATCCTTTCAAAGAGGGAGAGGATGATGAAATACTACCCTTTAAAGGACCTATCACAAGGGTAATGTCAAGAAGAATGCAAGAGGAATGAGCTAGAGATGAAGGTAGAAGGCCTAAACTCATTTTGAGTTATAGGTTATTTATATAGTCCATGTCTTCTATATATATATATTTTTTTTTTTCTGTTGATCTTGTATTTTGGTCTTTCAGTTAGGAATTTATTTTCCTATGGGTATATTTAGTATTTTAGGAAGGTGCAACTAGTATTTGAAAAATCTAGTTATTAGGCTTATTTGGGCCAAGAGAGAGTGGGGAGCCTTTTACCAAGAATGGATGTCCACTTTATTAAACCCCACACTCTCATTAGCTTCACACAACACCCATCTAGTCACATATTCCACGCATTAGTCATAATTTTTGCATGTTTGCTTCTACACCCCATTTCTTACTATTATATCCCTATCACGCTATCTACACCATGTCATGCATCTAACTCTCATTGGATGGATTAGATCTAGACATATTGCACCTAAATTTTGAATTTCAAATTTTGGGAACCATAGTTAGTTACAAGTTAATCTAACATTTGTTAGCTTAACTTGCACCACAAGTTAATAAACTCTATATATAGACGAGAACCCCCATTTACTTGTCACTTTTGAGCATATATGAGATTAATATTGAGTTTTCTCTCAAATTCAAGAGTCTTTGAGTTCTTCTCTTAGAGTGCAATTTCATATGCAACTTTTATCAAGGATCATTCCCTTGTGATGAGTCACCTTCAAGGCTTATCTTTTCTATTGAGAAGTGACACCCCCACTCCTATTTTCTTTCATGTTTTTGGGTTCTTCCACAATATACCTCATGGATGAAAGATATTGGGAAAAGAAGAAGCTTTGAAGAAATTGTCCATCATTCTTGAATTTTGTTTCATTACAAATTGATATAGATAAGGTAAAGGTTAATGAATAAGTGATATGTTATGCTATTTCATATAAAAAATAGTAACTACATATTAGGTCAACTGTTCTTTGTTGGTTACTATTTTTTTTAATTACCAATATTAAAAAAGTTCCTTATGTGACTTAAGTATTCACATAATTTTTTACTTTTACAATGTTTAAATTTGCCTTTTGTTGCTTTCCCTATGTTACATGTGTTTTGAAATATGAAGACATTGGAACATGGTCATGCAATTTAAGGTGAACAAGAGAACATCAATAAGTGTTTGTTAACTTTTGGATGAAAAAAAAATGTAAAAAAACTGGGGTTATAAAAAGATATAATTGAGACGGAAAATATTATTATACCTTTTCAATAACATTTATTATTAATATTATTGAATTATTAAATAGAAGATTTTCAAGATAATTGAAATTCTTTTAAAAAATTATAATTTTTTGAATTACATTGTTGAATTAAATATTAATTTGATTTCGTTTGAAAAATTAAAGTAACAATACAATTACAAAAGCATTTTATATTTTTTTTAAGAATTAAATAAATATAATTGAATTGAAGATTTTCAGTAATAATTTGATTTCGGGTTAATTCATACTATGTTTTCTTCTTAATCGAAGATGAATACATGTTAAAATTACTCATAAAAAAATATGTTGAAATAATTTGTTTTTAGAGTTTAATGGTCATAATAATTTAAGCTTAATTGTATTTTTTATCCTCTAATATTATAGTTGTGTAATTTTGATTTCTAACATTCTAATAATTGAGTAGTTTTAGTTTCTCATATATCATAATTGTTCAATTTGAGTTCTCAAATATCATAATTATACAATTTTTGACTTATTTAACTTACATAGATTATAATTTTCATTTATGTATTAAATGATATATATTTATTATTATTAAAATTACTAATATATGTAACTTAAATAGGTAAAAATTTGTGTAATTACGATATTTGAGATATTAAAATTATAAAATTGCAATACTTTAGAGACTAAATTTCTCAAATAAAAATTGCACAAATATAATATTTGAGAGATTAAAATTGTTCAATTAAATTTAATGAACTAAAATCATATAATTATTATACTTGACGGACCAAAAGAGTATTTAAGCCAATAAATTTACATAATCAACCAAATAAATATAACTATTAAAATAACTTCTTACTTATTTATTATAAAAGTCAACAAGTTATTATTAAATCAAAACTTTTTGACCTAACTTGATTTCAATTAAAAATTTATATTTTTTAATTATATTATTGAATTAAATATTAATTATTTTTTATTTAAAATAATTAAAGTAACATTACAGACTTACAGTCACAAAAATATCTTATATTTCAGTGACCTTTTAAATTAATAAAGAAACATTAAGAATTTAAATTCACAAAATTGCAAAGATGTATAAAAAGCAATGTGATATTATTTAGTCTAATTTTAAAATACTTTAAATCTTGAATATATCATTTTCTAATTTTTAAATAAAATAAATATTATACCTTAAGGAGAGTACATCAGTAATTTAGTGACTTTCATCCCCATCTTATAAAATCTTCTTCTTGATATTCTTTTTCTCATCTTCAACTAATCTTAATCGGATTCTTTAAAATACTTTACTTATTCCCTTAATAATATGCATGATAGTCTTCACTTATACTTGTTCAAGGAAAAAAAAAAGAATATTTACAAAAAATACTTTAACATTCAAGTTAATCTTTAGATTTAGATAATTCAATGTTATTAATCTTATAATAAATATAAAATACACCTTTTTCTTTAAATGTTATTATTTATATTAATGTTAGTGGACTTAAGTCCATAAAGTAAATTCATTAATAATTATAATACTTTAATAATCTTTTAAATTTTATTAATCATCAAAACATACCAAAAAGTTAATAACTTTTGATAATCTTTTCTTTTTGTCATGCCTCCTTGATATAAATATTATTTCATAAGCAATTTTATTTTCAAATAAATAATGTTAATTTTATTAAAAAAATTAAGTCCAATTTAAAAAAGGAAAAAGCTAATCGAAACATCTTGGCCGTTTTAAAATGAAACATATTTAATTCGAAGGGTGCTTGAATCTTGTCTTAGGTATATGATTAAAAATAATGATGACAAATGATAAGGGTAAAATGGAAAATGAAAAATAGAAGGATACTTAACATTTCCCCATCTTTAACTTGATGAGCAAGGTTCTCGTAATGACATTTACTCGGTTTTCGATGCTTCCTCGTCCGAACCAAAGGTCTGGTGTTCCGTTGGGTCAACCGTGGGGCCCATCCAAGGCACAGGCTCGTCTATCCGTTCAGTGGAAAATGCCCATGCCGAGGCACAGGTTCGGAAATCCACCCTCTTCCATACCCATTCCAAGACACCTCTTTCCCGCTCACTCACACTGTCGCTTTCGCATTGCCGACTGAAACAACAGAAACAGAAACGTTGTCAAAGTTTAATAATAAGCTGAACTTGTCTCTCGAATGCGTTCTCTTTGCACTTCTTCGCTACAATGGCTAGGTGAGTTTAGAATCAGCGGTTCCTAACACTGCAAACGGGGTTTTCGCTTTTGAAGTTGGAAAGACACGTTTTTTTTTTTTTTTTCAAATCTTCTTCATTTTTTTTCTTAATGGCCCTTTCAGGTTTTTTTTTGTGGGTTTAGGGTTTAACATGGACATGGTTGATTTTTGAGAAAAAGGTGGGGTTTTGTGTTGTGTAGGGTGTGAAAGACAAGGTTTGAGTTTTTTTTTTTTTTTTTTTTTTTTTTTTTTTTTT